GGGTGGCTTATTGCGTAGTAAAAAAAATTGACAAGAGAAACCGAAACGTGTTATGGACGCGGCTAAGAGCGACTGGAGACGCGTTATCGGTTCGCGCAAGGCCGCGAGAGAAACCGCCTATCCGATAACACGAGCTTCTCGTTATTGCGAGAAGTGTAGCGGGAGCACACACACGCGATATTTTTTACGATATATCTCGGTACTTGGAGATCCGCTTTGACTTTCATGAGCTGGCACAGTCGGCTGGCACAACCTAATTACCTGCGTCAATCACGGTCTAAAACATCCACGAGGAAATGCGCGAGGCGCGCTGTGCGGCAAAAAGCGCAAGTCAGCGCAGGGCACATATCTTCGCGGGAATCTCACGGTTAATCTATTTGCGCGGATTAATTCGTGGGCGATTTATCTCGCGGAGCTCTGTGTTGCGCGCTCCGAAAGACCTCGCGCTGCTATCGACGAATCAATTAATCCCTCTTTTAATAGCGCGCGCGTTAATCCGCGAGCGGCCAGTGAGACCGATCGCATATTCGCCACGGCGAATTATAACGCCGATTGTGTTCGCCCCTTCCGGACACGTTGTGTACAGTCAGTTACAAGACGTTAGGGCGTTAGGGCTCTGTACAAAATAAGAGCTTCAAGTTATCGCGGGGTATCGCTGAGTTAGGCTTGCGCAGTGCTCGGCTACGAGAAGAAGCCAGAGGCAGTGTGACAGTGAGGGTAAACCAAACAATTATTGGAATTCCCTTTAGTCATTGGTACTCTGGGAAAAATGCATTGCTGGTCGCAATGCTGATTGCGACCAGCATTACAGTTAAGTTTCTTATCTGCACTCCAAGATTTTGCAGGATTGCAAAAGAGATCTGCTGAAATGTGAACTCTGGTTGCAACACGGAGAGAATCTTATAATAAAAATTACTATAGAATTTGGTAACGGACGAATAGATCAACGATCTGCAGTAACTGATTTAACCTTTTTATTTTATATGTGTTATATATTCTAGGAACTGAAATGCTTTATTAAGACATTTGCCATGTTCTTTAACAAGATAAACTTTACAGTTTCTGCATCACTGGAAACATAGAAAATTGAAAAGAACTTGTATGAAAAAGAAGAAGAAAAAGAAACTGTAATATTCTCTCCATGAAAAAGAAGCAAGTTTTCTCCTTAGAGTATCAGTGACTAAAGAGGGTGCGATTCATCGTCTATGAGAAGAGACATCTGACGTCACAACTGCAACCGGGAGTTTCAGAAAAAATGCAAGTGTGCACGGAAAAAATAATTCTGTTGATGCAACCGAACTTTCGGTTGCTCAGGGATCAGACGAAAATTCGGCTATAGAAACAGAAAAATTCCTTTATGAGGCTTCTATATAGTCAATTGTTCTCAGTTGTCTCAACCCAGTTCTAATATCGTTGAATGTTCAGACGAATATTTTCGGTTGCAAGAACAGAAATATTAGTTTTCATAACAGAGATATCGCTTTTGATCACCTAATTTTCAGTTAGTTCCTATTTCGTTGCACCAACTGAAATTTTTTTTGCGTGTACTTATTATAATCTTATCTATCAAGTAAGAATCGAACAAAGTCAATATCTGCACCGTATATTGTCACTTTGACTCTTGTCATAACCGATCACCAAGCGAGCCCGCGTGTGACTCGTGACAACTCGGAGCGCTCGAAATTCCATTCGAAAAAATGTTCGTCCTGCAAGCTACGAGTGGCAGATCGGCCGAAACGCCGCAACGAGGAAGTACGAAATACGAGGAAAAAAGGTGGCGCGACCCACTTTTCCGTGAAGAGGAGCGTGCGCGCCGGTTATTAGGGGCCGTTACGAGGGTCGAAGCCCTAAGTCGGAGGAGCGGACGTGAGGGTGGGAAGTGGCAAACGTGTCCTGCCTACCCTTTTCGTCGGCTCGTTAATTTCCTCCCTCGCCCCCTCCGTCCCGGATACGCGCGCGCTATGTGCGCGATAGTGTAAACGGCCACGATTTTCGGGAAATCGTCGTACACGACGTAGATACGAATCGGCCGACCTCCAGCCCCCGCCCCCGCCCCCGCCCCCACGTTCCTGTTTACCGAGGATCCCTCGACATTGCGAATACAATTTACGAACGGCTGCATATATCGCAAACTCCCTTGGCTTTCTCTCTCTTTCTTTCTCTTTTGTTATAACTTTGTTATAAACGTTACTTCGTTATCAAAAATTATGGCTCTTTCTTACATATTTCTTTTGTATAATGTATATTTTCTTTGCAGAGAGCGCATACAAGAGAAGGGATCTCAGAGTGTCTAATAAATGATGCTTCTTTCTTTCTCTCCCTCTCTCTTGTGCTTCCCCTTATTCTAGGCACCACATGTTCATCCGTTTTTCCTTTAATCCTCGAGACCAGCGATCGATAATCGATGTATTAATGCACGACGCGGAGATATCGAAGTCGAGGAACGATAAAACGGGTTCGCGGTTGCGATTAGAATTGAAGTACGTCGCAAAAGCGAAATTGGACCGAACGGAGTTGCCGATTCGAAGGCGGCTACGCGGAGCTGCGTGTTACGAAACCAAGAATTACTCGGCGAAGCGGTCTCAAAAAGTACACGAGAGAATTCCGCAAGGGAAGAAAGGCGACAATTGTACGGAGAGAACGGCAATGCAAGTGAGGAGACGCGTCATAAAAATGTACAGAGTAGTGCTTCGCCTAAGAGGAGGAGGAATGTTGCCGAAATCGCCGCTTCCGCCGTCACCGACGTGGCGAGCAAGCCGTAACACGTGAGAAACTTCGAAACATCTTTATTAGCCGACGAGCACACCACGTTATCCGGATTTCCTTCGTTATCTAAGCTAAAAGTACCAAACACGTACCTAATTCTCGACATATTCCTGTCGTCTTGGTCTTCAAATACGAATATTTGTACCTTCAAAACACGTATAAAATGTACCAACAGTACCGGCATTAATATCATTGCATTAATATCATCATGGAAATTATTCATTCGTGGAAATATGCTTACAGGTGCTCTCAATGCTAACATAAGAGAAGTATTGTTATTGTGGCACTCGTATTTTTTTTCTCTCTAAATTAATATCCGTGCAGAAACTCCGAGAGTTTGCAATTGTACGTTTTCACCTTGCGCGAGTGTGAGTGTTATTCTTTGGTCCTTTCGTCTCATATACGCTCCAAAATGAGCCAAGGTATTCAGTCTGAAAGCGAAGAGTGTTATTGTAGCTTATCTAAGGAAAAGTTTTCTACACGCGAAATAGCGGCCAAAGTTAAATTCGATCGCAAGATTCCCGGGGAAATTTAGAGTGAATGAACGGTAAAGTAAGGAAACGCTGTACAATTGCAGCAAACACGGCCAAGTTCTCAATAGAATCTCTCGTGAAAAATCGCGGACTAGCATCAAATAAATTAAAGGTTGAGCGGGAAGAAACGTCTGGAATTAAATTTATTATGATGCGATAATTAATCGCCATACTGTACACGCATCTACACTGAGAAAAGAAAAACATCCGAAAAATAAAAAATATTTATTCGATGCATAATAATAACATGCTTGCTTACAGACTGAATTTATTTTGTTCAAATCAAATAAACAATTGCTCTCGTGAAAAGCAACAGTTTTAGGAAAATTAATTTTCTCGTTTGAAAGAAATTTTTGTTCAACGAAAAGAAAATTTAGCACAAATAAATATGTTATTAGCACCAATCGAACAAATATTTCTTATTTTTTAGATATTTTCTCTCTCAATGCATATATATTCTATGTTGAAAATTTAGATATTTGTATTTGAAGATCAAAACGACAAGGAAGTCTAAGATTAGGCGCGCGAGTTTGGTACTTTTGCCTCACTTCTGCGGATTTCTTCCTTCTCTTTTTGTTTCGCACACACACGCACGCACCTTCGCACTGTGCGTGCTTCCACTCCGATAATTTCGATTCCCGAGGCGGTGCCGTCGACGCCGGGATCGTCGTGGCATTTTTCGTCACGGATTAGAGCCAGTTGTTTAAGAGTAAACAAGTGGGACCAGCGTCTGGGATCCGTGTTTGCGCGCGCGCGCGCGGAAGAAAGCAAAATATTTGGTGAAATAATCGAAAAAGAGGGGAAAAAGTCCCGAAAAATCGCGGCGCGCTGCATGATTTAATTAAAAAGCACCTCCCGAGAATCCGGAATAAACTTCGCGGCGTTTACAATGTAACCGGTATATTTGTCGGTGCATCCGCGCGGCGCGGTTACTTTTTATTATTTCATCGGCGCGCGCACGCTCGCATGAGCCCCTCGTGCGGTTTGTTTTTTCGCGACGTAGCTACGCGATATTGTGTCGCAACGTTCTGAAACGTCGGCGAGCCCGAGCCGAGCCCTTAATTACTACAGTGCGGTTCCGCTACGTTTCCCGCACAGTGTCACGTTTTATTGTTTCAACATTTCACGAGGTTATCAAATAAACAGATGGAACGACAGTTCAGAAGAGGATAATCCGGCGTTCAGAGGTCGCGCGCGCGGAGGTGAATTTTGTAAATTTCTATTAGAAAGAAGCTCGTTTTTAACAGCTCGTTTCGTGGTGGAAACACAATTAGCGGAATGTCGTAATTAAATAGTCAAGAGAACATGCAGTTCGACGAAATAGCGCGAAAATATCACGGGTCTTCGATTATTTCGCGCGAATGCATGTTTAATCCGCACGTGTTCGCGTCGAAAGGAGAACACGCGTCGCTCTGAATCGACAGGAAAATTTACGACCAGCGCGGTCGCGTGCGCTACGTTTGATTTGCGACTGTGTTTTATGCTCGCGATGGAGTTGCGTCTATGCGCAAACTGACAGGAATGAATAAAATTACTCGCGAGAGTCACACGCAAATATAATCGCGTGCAAGAAAACAATTTTTCGTACGGAACGTAGCAGAGCGATGCGTGCAGCGCGAACACTCGCGGATTAATTCGCCAGCCTGGTGGAAAATTTCCACGACTGTCGTCGGTATGTATGTATGTAAGCGTGGTACTTACGCGGAGGGTCTGCTGGTGGCGTGCCTCTCTCGTTCTGTAACAGAAGAAAAGACGACGGCAATTAGCGATCGGTGTATGCACCAATTATCACCTAATCGTCAACGTTCAAGGACGGCGTGCATTATGTCGGAACAAGGCTGAGAGCTGAGAGCTCGACCGTTGTGACACTCGTTAATCTGCTTAATATCGCTAAAAAAATACCCTAGGTAGGATTCCACATGTACGATGTACATAGTGAATATTTATCGTTGTTTTTTGTGTCCGCTAGAAAATTGTTTGTAGTGCGTAGTAGAGTTTCTCAATGCAGAGTTTGGACACCGTCTGCCATTTGTAGGGGGAGAAGTGAGTGAGTGAGATAAAAGCTGCAGCGTGCTTCGTCATTTCAGTCTTAGAGGTTTTTTTCTCACGTCTCACTCACGTCACCCCTAAAAATGGCGGATAGGATATCACCGCGTTTTGTTCTAATTCTGACTCGAAGAATTCTAGTGTACGTAGAATCTACAGTAACAGCTTCTAAAATAATATTTGCAGGCAAATTTAGATTCTATTGCCGATCATTAATCTGTTCTTCAATCGGGATGAACGCCACAGATAGACTTTCTTGCTAAATTTTGCAAATATAGCTCAGCTATAAATTTTGTCTCTGTCTGACAAATTAAATACGAAACATATATGATATCACAATATTTGTCAGTGATTTATTCGGCCATCTTGGCCGATTTCTCATATCTAGATCATTTTCGCTGCAAGACCATTTTCTGGGGTGTAATATGAGACACGTAGTGAGATTTTTCATCGCCGTGTGACCCGGATTAGGCCGCGACAGGACGAGAAACTAGGGAAGCACGGTTAACGACCTTGATGCACAAAAAGAAACTTCGTCAATAGGTTGACGAGGAAATATAGGTGGATAGGTAGGTAGGTGAGTTAGATAGGTAGGTAGGCAGCGTAGATGGTAGGTAGGTGTACGAAGAAACGTTTTGTCGTGGTAACTAGTCGACAACGTTCATCGAGACGAAACGCCATTCTGACAGGCCCGCACGGGATCGCCTTTAGAAATTCGATGACCTGCTTGGTTGCAAGGGGAAAGAGAGAGCGGGCCGGGTTTGCGAGGAACAGAGGAAGTAACGATGAAAGGAAAAAAGGTGGAAGAGCAGGGTGCAGGGCAGGCACAGGCGAGGCATTGCGTAAACAATGGCGTACACGCAACGCGTATGCCAGATCGCGTCATGGGAAAGGGATTCCGAGTGAGTCCACGGCTTACGGCAGGGAGGCAGAGGGTGCGCGGGGTTAAATTCGAAATAGAGGGTTGAATGCCGGCGACACAACTGCTCCAGGTATGCGCCTGGCTTTGGTCAACGAGGACTCCCGCCGTTTCGACGGGAGCAGCATTACCACCGGCCTCTCGTCTTGACGTGAAGGTGCGTGCCTCGGCGTGATTACGAGATGGCGCATACGAGAACGTCGCGACAGCCGGAAATAAGTCGGGCGAAAGCGGAGAATTCGTTTCCTGTCCGTTCGTCTGTCTGTACACGTGTGTAACATGATCAATTTGCATTCGTTCTCTTAAAACCGGCGTAAATTATTCGTCCCGCGCGTTACATAAAACGCGGTATAAATATGTCACGTATTTCGCTCTTTGAGCATATATTTTCGCGTTTTGATTTTTGATATGAAGGTGAAAATTTGTGAATTATTGTGAAAATTTGTGAATTATTGTCACATTTCACGCGCGCGCACCCTCTCTCTCCCCCGCCCACCAAATAATTCATTCATAATCAAGGAAACTCCCGTTGAGCTGTCGCGGTTAATGTCAATAAACGGTTGTATAATCACACGCTGCGCCACTTATTATTCATCGGCCGTGATGGCCGTCGTTTCAACAATTGGTACGAAATTATCCCGGCGACCTTCCGCCGCCTAATTACCAATACTCGCCGCGTTACGATTTGGCGGCCGGGGCCATCCGCGGACAACTGCGCGATCAATCAGTGACGCGCGGGCGGCGACGCCGCTCTCGACGTCGGAAAATAATTAGCGCCCAAGTGTTGCGAGGCCGTTGCGTATCTTGTTGGTGTGTCGCACATGCGTCGATAATCCAGTCGAGCAAATTGCATTTGACTGGCGTCGCGACTGCACTTAAGCCTCTCAATTAGAAAAATTTATGCTCCGCCGTGATTTTCACATATAATAACGTGCATTGCGTCAAAGCGCAGTATAACTCGATGGAAAACTAATATCGGAGAATTACGACAGATGAGAGAGAGAAAAAGGGGGAGAGATAAATCTCTCCTTATCTGATCGATAAATCTTACGGCCATTAACAGCTTTTTACAGTCAGAGATTCTGTTCAGCATTCATGTCTGTCAAGGCAGTAGAGTCTACGTGTAGACGAATAAAGTATTTCGCTGAGTGAAATCGGAAGTAGACTTTTGTAAATCTTCAATTGATGCAGTACTGAGTGCTTGCTTTACTTGTGATGGCCGTAACATGCTTCTTTCAGGATAATATGTTGAATATAATAAGATAAGAGAAGAAGGGAGGAGGGAAAGGAGAGGAAGAGAGAGAGCGAAAAGTTTAATGTCCCTTTCGATCACCCCATACGTAAAATTTCGAAATGACAGTTGAGATTAGCAAGCATCGACAATTAACAAAATTGGGTCATGCTTGCAATCAACTGATATTATCATTCCGAAATGCGCGGAATGGCTTCCGCGCGCGCAAGCGGCTCGTAAATAATTCCGTGGGCCGAATTCGTATCCGACAACAAACGCGGAGCCGATCCCTGCGAATTCGTCGGCGGCGAGTCTCGCGGGGTGATCCCGTGAACCGGTCCAGAAATGCGAACGGCGAGAGGGGGGGGAGGAGGAGGAGGGGGCAGTCGAGCAAGAGACCGACCGACCGACCGACCGACAACGAGCCGGCCTGTCATTAGCAGCCGCAGATAATCATCGAGATTCGAAATTTGCCAGGCGGCGGCGTTCTCCGGCCGCGTAACAATGTTGACATCGAGTCGCGCGCACCGCGCAACGTGGCGCAACAATGCGCCGTAAATTCATCGAGTAGAGTTATCTCGGAGTGTGAGCGAGCCGAGCGAGAGAAGCGGCGGCAGCCGTCGACTACCGCGCGCGATCGATCCGCGCGAATCGAACACGGCGAGTCGGTCCGGTTCGATGCTGCGCACCTGATAACAGAAGATAGCTGACAGCGCCCTGAAGCAGCTCGAACCTGCTGAACATGACTTATCGCTCGCGTTGCCGACGCCACTGCCTTCGTCGTCGTCGTCGTCGTTGTCGTTGTTGTCGTCGTCGTCGTCGTTGTTGTTGTTGTTGTTGTTGTTGCAGTTGTTGCCGCTGCTCCTGTCTCATGTTACTCGCGCTTGCCACGCGAAAAGCACAATCATCGGCACGGCGAACCGCCGCCGGCTGGATGCTGCATCGGATCGCGACTTCTGTGCGCTCCGGGGCAGTTTCGTGCGCGCGATCCGCGCACCTTTGCGCAGAGAGGCGCTCGCCCTCCGGACTGCTGCGCTCCTATCCGCGCAACTCGCGTGATGACCTGCCGATTCTCCACGATCTCACCACTGCTTGAGAACGGTGTGCTCTCGCGGTGAAATGTTAACAGTTCCCTTCGAATTACTTTAGCCGCCCTATGCCTTCACAACTCGTAGCACAACACAAACTGGATACACTGGGTGTTCTACCTTTGAAAATTCCTCGAATGTAGCAGCGGTAAAGAGAAAAGGAGTCTATTGGGTTGTGAATTAAGTAATTTCGCGTTTTTCAGGGATAAGATTATACGAGATTGTACGCTGAGAAAAGAATATCTGGAAATTTATCTGCGGAATGTAAAGGTAGAAAGGTAAACTTTATCTCACCGAAATAAATTTTATTTTGTTGAAATAAACTTTGTATCATTAAGTTTTCTAGTATTTCTTCTCAGTGAACTTTTATGTTGTTGTGAAACAATACGCGAAAGCTTGCAGAATATAGGTATTAAAGATGATGTGTGTGTGTGTGTGTATATATATTGTTTCATAAATTGCAGTGAAAATGTTATTGTTTCGCTTTAAATCAATTAAACTTAAAAAAGTAAAATCGTTTCACTGAATAATCCCATATTACTCTTACACAACCCACACAAATAATAGATATGTTTGTTAAGAAAAAAGAAAACAAATAAAAACCGCTCTAGAGGGAATCGCGCAGTGATTTTAAATCACCACTGAAGAGGTCAATTAGCTCGAGCTTCTCGCGGGAATTTAGAATACGAGGGAGATTTCGGCGAGAGGCCAATTGAATTTCGCGATCGCACTCGTCGCCGACGTCGTCGCGAGCTCTCGTCAAGTCATGACGCGGCATGAAGGGATTCCTTTTTCTTGTCTGTTATCGCGGTCGTGCGTGCAGATTACCGCTCGTTATCGCGCGTCGTGCCACAAGTGATTTTATCTCGACGCACTGCGGGAAAGTAGCCGCGGTGTCTGGTCGGCGCACAAACGGAGCATTCAGCGAACTTTAATACAAAGCTCACATTATCCGGAGAGCATCGTCGAGGCGGACGAGCGTGCGCGCGCAAAGAACGTATTCCGTGGGCATTTGCGAGCCGGGAATTGCATATCCACGAACGCACAAGAGAGACCTCGCCGCGAAGTTTTCTCCAAGGTTGCGGAACGTCAGATCCAGCCGTCGGCGGTGGGAAGTATTAATTCCCAGTGGCAAACATGAAACGCGTGTTCCCTAAACGCCGGGCGTTTGCTCGATATCCAACGTCGGGCCGCGTTTTCGTCGGGGGAAGACAACACTTCGCCGTGAGGGAAGACAGGTGCCGGGGAGGAGTCGCGAACGGAGGTTTCTCAAGGTCGTAAAATTGCGAGCCGCGCGATCTTCGGCCGAGACCTTCGACGAGCTTGCCTGGAACTTCTCGGCGTGCTTCGTTGGAACTCGCGTCTGTCGAAAGTTGGAATTAACTTCCGCTCGGTCGGAAAGGAGCGCGCGATATCGCGGCTCGAGCGCGAAACGTTCCACACAACATCAGAAAAAAAAGAAAGAAAGAAAAAGAGGCGAAGAGAAAATGAAGAAATGAGGCTCACTCTTCGAGGTCGCTCGCGCCGGTTTCGCGGCGGAAGGCAGTTCGCATCGGAAGCGCAAACACGCCCCGAGCTCTTACACGTGCGACTGACCCAGACCCGGCTAAATCCGGACGAGAAAGGCTCTTCGGGGTCACTTATGTAACCCTGCTGAACTTTATATGCATACACGTGCCATACACGTACCTACACACATACGCGCGCGCGCGCGTTGCCGATGCGCCTTCTCCTCGGGCCATGCCGGAAACGAGTGTGCTAGCGACACGTGTACCGAGCGCGACCGCTTCGGAATTGTGGCCGCGCGATTAATTATCGTTCCTACCGGCAGGAAATAATCGACATTCCCGGCGATATCCGCGACCCTGAACGGGATATATGCGTGAACACGTGAGAGCGATACGACGCCGAAGATGACGGCGAGATCAATGATAAAAACGTCGGGAACGCGCAGAGAGAGAAAGAGAGCGGAAAGGAGGACGAAAGATATATATACACACACACACATATATATATATATATATATATATATATAACAGTCAAGGGACTTTGCAGAAGCTTCTAGTTTGACGTCTGCAACACAGTTTGCTTGGCGAAAGAGGTAACACGCGGTGCTGAACGAACGAATCGACGAGCACGAGACGTAGCGTTCGTGCATTCAGATCAGCGTGTACGTCGGTCGCTTGTTGAAACTTCCGGTGCTCCGAAATTATCGATTTTATGGCACGCGACACGCGCTGAATGCGGGTTCGACCTTTTATATATATATATATATATATATATATATATATATATATATATATATATATATACACACACACATACACGCGACGTTCAATGCACAACGTAGGTGCGTATTTAGCGAGCGAGCGAGCGAGATAGCGCCCTTACTGCACAAATATGCGACGAATTATCCAGTGACCTGCGCTCTTCGCCAAATATCATAATAGAAATCTTAATTACAAATTTCTCGCGAATGTCCTCCTTCTCCCCTCACACGGCAATGCGATCGTGTCGTGGTGTCGCGGCTCCTCGCCACGTACATGTGATCGTCTCCTCGCGAAAAGCATCGTGTGGCGCGCGTTTCATTAATAAAAATCGAGGCAGCTGCTGTTTTTGGAGACGCGGTCGATAATCACCGAAGTTCGCGTTTGAGAGAGAAACCCTCGCTCGCTCGCGCATGCAGGTCGATACTGAACGGCGATGCGACTTCCTTGTTCGCGATTTCCCATTGACGTCCGTTCCACGCGACGGTGTGCGCACGTGAAGCCAATTCGCAGACGAGAGACAGCGATGACTCGCTGACGACGCCGAGTGCGATGTACATTACGTATAAAAAAAAAAAAATATATATATATATATATATATATATATATATATATATATATATTACGTGTGCATTGGGAAAATGTGATCGCAACGGGGGCGAACGTCATGCGATACCCGATCGCGGAATCACACGGCCGACACACGCGTAAAGTGAGGGGGGAGGGGAGAGTGGAGGACACATACACAGGAATGACGTAGTCGTCAGTTGAACCTCGTTTCGCAACTCAACTCTTCGACTCGCGACCGATCGATACGTTGTGCGCGCCACAAACTTCGCCCGTCGTCAACATTTCGCGACGGGTTGAATTTAAATGAGCGCCGACTCGATGACACGTGCGTTGATTAATTCAAATATGCACACCCAATTATCGTTCGCTCGCGCGCGCGCTTCTATTGTTGCAGCGACGTGCCGCCCCGCAAATTGTGCCAATAGGAGAACGCGACGGATCTCTTCAGCTTTGTCTCCAAACTCTCAACGCACTTCCGCCAGGGAGTCGCCGATCGATAATCGCGCTGTAGCGCGCCGATCCGCGCGAATCCTCGTCAATGCGCGTCCCATTTGCTGTGTACTTTGTTCCACCGGCGTCGATACACACACGCGCACGCGCGCGCACACACACACACACACACACACGTCAAACGACGCTCTGTCGTAAATCACCGCGTACCGAACGCGCGATATAACGCGCGGCACCACGACACGGGCAGGGCAGAATTTAAAACTCTTTTCACGTTCAACTTTGCTCAAGTCTCGTCGCAGCGCACCGTGTACCATAAAGCACAATCTCTTAGACTCCAATTAGCATTTCGCGCGGGACCACCATCGGGAGTGTAATTGAAATAACGCGCGCGCTCTCTTCAGCCACGTATTACGGCAGAGAGGAGCTTCTCTCTCTCTCTCTCTCTCTCGTATCGCGTCGCCATATATCCGGTATCGTGGCGCAGCGTACCTCCTCGACAATCGCCAACTTTGTATCCGGCGCGAGCGCGGCTGTCTGTGTGCGTTCTTAGCGACGCGCGTCGGTTGACTGAGGCTCGCAGGGGCCTGCTAGTCGGGCCATCGTCGGCACGATTTTCTGCTCGCTGCTGTTGCTGGCACTGGCTATCGCCGCTGCTTGCTGCCGGGTGGCGCGCTGGTGCTTGATGACTTGGTGGTAGTGGCGGTAGTGCGCGGCAAACGCACGGGCCCCGGAACACGCGCCGACGAGAGGGGCCCCGCGAGGAACGCGCAGCTTGGCGAGCAGACGGTCGCTTCACCTGCGTACCGACGGCTTTGTTGTGCCCCACTCCGTCGCCGGGGCCCGACGGAGCCCTCCGCGAGGTCTCTGCGAGGTGACTGAGCCACGCCGGCCGCGCTGAGCGTCCTCTCGACCTGATCATTCCGTGGTATCGTGCGTCGCCAAACCGTCGTTTTAGTCGTCGTCGTCGTCGTCGTTGGGGTTGAGGAATCGACCCTCCTCCGCGGGAACTCTCAGCTCGATCGAGAGATTTATGCGTGTTTAGGTTGCCAGGGAAACCTCGCCCGGGATCTATCGACGGCCATCCCGCCGCGTTGTCTTAAGGGCGTCGAGTGCAAAAGTAATTTCGGACATGTGAACCCCCGACTCGAGAGACTGTCGAGTCACCGCGGAATCAACATTTCGGCGTTCAGCCAAAAGAGAGAAGGAGGAACAGAGACTATCGTGTCGATACATCTGACTGCAAATAATAATTCGACGGCGAGTCGTAGCTTTTATCGATATTTCTCTCATTATTCGTTCATTCCCGATATCCGCATATAACAATGCGCCGATGCATTGTTTAGAGCGGCTTGCATTTCAGTATTTATTTCTCGATCTGTGTATACCTGATTCTCATGTTTCATTGCACTCACGACCTTTTTACGAGCGTACCGGAAATTTATCGCGAATCCGAAACGCGACGTGACCTGAAACGAATTAGCGTGTTCAATAGCACGATGACAACGATGATGATCGGGACCGCGGATCTTGTTTAAGTAGTTTTTGCCGATTTGCATCGCTGTTTCCTTGAGTTGCGAATATTGCAGACAAGATTCGTATCGAGCATGCTTTTCAAGTCTGTTCAGCGTCCCTTGGTTTCACCAGTATCACGAGATAATTAAAATTGAAATTTTGACCCCACTTTCGACCATCCCATTTAACGTCTATTTTGATATCTGAAGCCTATATAATGAGCCTATAAGTGATTTTGATTTCTCAAGCCTACATCAATATCTCTTTTGATTCTATTTAACCCGTTAACGTTGCCAAGACGTCTTTTCTTTTGAACTTACAAGCGACATTCTGTGTGTCTTCCGCCACTTAAAGGCACTAAATAGTCTTGCAGTTTCCATGTATAAGACAAGACGCCCAATCATCGACATCCCCTCGCGGCCAATGACACTCTGGAGAAAAAAATATGGTTTTCCATGCGACCAGCATTGTTGTTGAACTTTTTGCCTGCATTCAATAATTCCAAGGGAAAACTTCACAACTAAAACTGTGAACAACGGTCGGTCTCAAGAGAGACCTGACTTTTCTAGAATGTCCATGAATAAGGGGGATTAATAATTGAATGTTTTACCCCATTCAGCATACCCTGATTCCTCAGAATACACCAATGTTAGAAGATTCAGGTCAAAAGTGGGTCTAAAATTCCGACTCAAGGACCTCGATAGACGATCCTTGCGAGATCAGAACGGCGAGACCGCCCAAGTTGAAATTTCGACAGCTGAACTTTCTTAACATCTGTATATTCTGAAGAATCAGTGTGTGTTTAATACGCATGAAAACTGAAGTCCTACTTAGCGCTTCTAAGTAGTAGAAGACGCACAAAATGCCACTTGCAGGTTCCAAAGAGGACCTCTCGACAACGCTAGTAAGTTGAATGGAATCTAAAGAGGTTGACATTGGCTTCAGAGTATCGAAGTAGACGTGTCAAGTGGCGTGTTGAGGTCGAAAGTAGGATCAAAATTTCGACTCGGGTCGTTGTTCCAAATTCGCTGGCTTCCTTCGAGTCTGTCACGCCGAATCGTGTCTCTTCTACGTCACGATAAGAACACTTTGCACGTGCCAAGGCGTTACAATCCCCACGGGAGGAAACGCAGCGAACGAAGAAGGAACAATGAATAACCGACAGCGTAATGCGCCGCGATGCGAGACGCCGATAATTGCACGCGCGCGCTCCCTTTAAAGAAAGTAAGGAAGAGCCACTGTCGAGATGCAAATATTATTATGAACGCGCCGCGCACGCCCTCTCGCACACTTTGTGCGCCTCCACCTAATCTGGGCCGTGTATCCATCCGCTCGCTCGCTCGCTCGCCGCTCTGTGCGTGCGCCAACCGAACATAGCAACACACCCGACGAGGGTATCGTGCATAAGTGGCACTCTAATGCACCGGCTAAAGGCCTTTGCCTTCCTCGTGTTTACCGCCTGCTCGACGCGCACTTCAAGCATTCTCGAAGCGCGTTCAGTCGGTCTCTCTCTCTCTCTCTCTCTCTCTCTCTCTCTCTTCTACCTCGTTACTCCTCGCTCTGGGTACTGATATGATTTGCTTGTGCGCAAAGGGACAGAGAGATAATGCATTCGTGCCAATTGATAGACGCTTCGTGATTTAATATGCACCGTATGAGCGAACCGACCGACCGATGCCTGAAATCACGCGCGGGTGAGAGAACAACGGACAACAATTGACAACAGACGGCTATGCGCCCTAGACGATTCGATCCGGATGTTAATTCCCGAGGCGAGCGGGTACACGTGCTGTGCTCCTAGGGGTGGTATTCTTTTCAGCTAATCTTGAGCTAATCGCCCTCGTTGATTAAACGGAACCTCGTAATTCCCAAGTTTTTGGATCTCGGCTCGCTTTGCGATACTTGGTGGTTGCAAATAACCTCATCCACCCATCAATTAGCGAGACTTTTAACGCGAGCGTCGCGATAGCAATTGTACGAATGAGACCATTGAAGATAACCACTTTTATTTACACGGTGAGATAAACGTTCTTCGCAGATGAAATGAAATGGACGAGTTCTTTTTTGTTTGAAACAGAAAAATCGTCACGAATGATCACGGTATTATTTGTGCTGCGACATCGGGCGATAATAATAAAAAAAAAAATCTTTTTGTTCGAAATAAAAGAATTGCACGATAGTTGCGAGTGATCGGTGTTATTTGTGTCACGAAATATCGGACGATATTCTGTTTTAATTTCATGTATAAAATTGTCACAGACTTGTAAAATAGACGCGCATTTTTATAGGATGGCTGGCCATAAGATTGCACGACAGAAATGCGTCAAGTCAAACGCTTTCTCTGTCGCACAGTATTCTAAGAGCGGGTGATGTAGGGGAAACAAAGAAAAGAGTGAAATATAGTGAGGGTGTATATGATCGCTTCTCCAGCTTCGTTCTCCCCATCAGCTAAACAATTAGCCATAGCTAGCAAAAATGATCAGACTCGCAAGATTATGATTTTCGAATTTTTGTTACCAATGGGTTACCTGTTATCCATAATGCCTTTTTACAAGAAGCAAAAAAGATCCAAGCCTTATGGGCGTCTAAAATTAATTAAAAAACAGTTTTTATTTAGTAGTTACGTTTTTTCCACCCATTTTTCAAAGGTCAAGCTTATCAATAAACACCTTCAAAGATTGAACATGCTTGACCTCTTGAACGATTGCGAAGACCTCAGTGCTATCTATATTATATCTCTTAGAAGTAAATCTACTCAAAAGTTACACTCCGATTTCTTTCTAACCTGACACAAATGTAGAAGTACAAAAAATATTTAGATCATTTTTTTATTCTGACCTACTTTGAGTTTCACGAGCAGTTTATAGCTTTTTAATGTTTTCACTCCTATCATTAACAAGTGCAACAAAAATGCATAAGAATTAAAATTGAATACAAGATATAGGCGTTTTTGGTTTGCTGATTATGAATATGAAGACAAATGTGTAAAATTATTTGTGTAATAAAATGTTTAAACAAAACATGTAAAAAGTTGAAAAATTATTTATAATTTCTCGGTTTGGCAGAGATTCGAACCATTTTTGGCTAATTTAGCACAGATTTAAAATATTTCGATTGGAATCTCAGCTAAAGAAATTTAGAATGATTCGTGTTTCAGCTATGCCCATTTTGTTAAAATTATTTAACTATATCTTGTATTCAATTTTATTTCTTATGCATTTTTGTTGTATTTGTTGATAATAGGAGTGAGAACATTAAAAAGCTATAAGCTGAAACTCAAAGTGGGCCAAAATGAAAAAATATGACTTAAATATTTTTTGTATTTCTACATTTCCAAATTAGAAAGAAATCGGAGTCTACCTTTTGAGTAGTTGTAATACCGACAGGTTGTTAGTAATATTTACTGCATCCCTCCTACAGCAATGCGCATTCTGCTCTATCGTCCTTATTCCGAACTCCCTTTTATCGATAAAAGTGCCTCTAAATGAGATTGAAAGTCAATCAGAAGACTTGTGTAGGCCACATTTAGAGACACTATTACCAGGAAAAGAGAGTTCGGAATAAAAAGTATGTCTCATAGTCGTACAATTCACGCGCCATGTCTCGCCTCATTCTGGTCAAGCGTAATTTTTCCGAAAGGGGATACCTTGAGAACGAAATGAAAAGTTCGCCGGACGTCGATGGCCAGTTGCAGTCCGTACTGCACGTCGATCGATGCTCCATCGTGTGCGCGCGCGACCTGTGTTTATGTTAATGTGTGCGTGCGTGCCGGCCGTGAAGGATCGTCCGTGTATTATTAAGGCGTATACTTAGCCGGCACACGCCAGGATGCACGGCGGTTTCGTGCACCTGTTTGGCCAAAAGGATCTGGTCGGGCCACCTTGCCCCTCACGATTTCGCCCTCGCCCCTCGTCCGTCCGTCCACTCTTCCCCTCTCATTCACCCACCCTCCTTCATTAACCGTCATCATAATCCGCGGTATTTTTCTCCTCCCACTCTCGATAGATACTCCGCGAGGGAATCGTGACGATCGCATTATGCCACCAGTTTCAGGTCTGTTCCCGAAATTAGGTTCCCGGACTAGACACAACCCGAGGGCAGGCGATCCCGACGCGGAATTCCATATTTCGAGATGACGAAGGGGTGACGCGCGTCCCGGGAATAAAATCCAAACTCGCGGCCCTCTCTCCGGAACCATTCTCTCCCGGGGATCGATTTTGTTTTTCCTCGCGGGGCGAAGTTTTACTACAGCGCGCGGCACCGGATGTGATCAATCAGGGATTTCATTTCTTCCCGTGGACGTAAGTATTTTTAGCGATCTCTAATGGACGATCTCTCGATGCGTGCTAATTACGCTCCTTAATAGCCGCAACTTCGGTAATCGATTACATCTCGCTCATCGCCACGTTGCAAACGCGATGAACACACACACTAGTCCGAGTGTTCTACGTTTATTCACGCGATACACGTCGGATTGTTTATGCGCTGCCATCGCGATGACGCAGATAGAGTCGCCGCGATGGTGGCTATAAATCATCCTCGACAGATCTATGGCCCGCACCTTCGCCTTTTCCACGCGAGCGAAACGCGATAACGCAAGGAGGAGCGTAACCGCGCGCGCGCACCGTAGAAGCTGCCATTTAAAAGGCACGAGAGCTTCCATCCCGTGCCGAACTGTCGAGAGAGCCGATTGAAATGTTGTCGAATCGAACGGTAAATATTCCCGATTACACGCCGTGCCGTTAACGTGTTAGAGCATCATGAGAGCGTGCGCAACAATGACTCTTAAATTGACCCTTAGAATTCCAACATCAACGATGAAAAGTACGGTAAATGTTACGCCACCAATGTATGTGTGTGCGTGGGACTCCGTTAATTTCGTTCTGTTCGCGTTAGAAGAGCGTGACGTGCAAGACGGACGATAAAGCCAGCGTCTTTATCGGAGAGCTTCGATCGATCATAGCGAAGTCGCGGTAATAAGTATTAATTGTCAACACAGCCAATCCACCCCGCGAGACATCAAAGTGATCATCTCGGAATTTCGCCAATAACGTACGCTACGGAATGTCGTGATCGGCGCGAGACACGACTCTCGACGCACGAAGGCGAAAATAATTGACGGCTGGAAGAAACAACGGCGCAGCCGTGACAAAATTAATTTATCATAGCACGTAAGCGGCGGCGTAAGCTGTCAGCGCGACCCAGATTCCTACGCGATACCACTACGAAATATTCTGAGTCACTTCCAGGTAACCGATTGCCTCGTGTAAGACGCGATATTGAGCAATCCTCTCATTGTTCGGCCGGCCGGTGATGATAGGGAATTACTTGGCCGCAACGTTTAATTTGCATCCGCAGGAAAGGACGATGAGCTGGCGATGCTACGTAGGCGAAACGCCGCGGAGAGCGGCGCATTTAAACGACGGCATAAAACGAAGCGCACGCCGCCGCCGCCGCCGACAAGTGCAACCCCCGCGGATAAAAAGTGCGCAATCGTGTAATCGCATAATGTCGCTTCGCGTTATCTAACGAAAGCGATCTCCGCGCGATCCGCGCGACTTGCGGTCGCGTGGGGAAGTCACCGTTATGTTTCTAACTAGGGTGAAACATTCAGTAACCGGCACACTCCGCGCGCCGAGAAATGACTTGTTAATATCAGCTAAATCTCAACAGCTGCTTCAAGCTCGGATAAAAAGGCTAATCGTCTCGCCTGTCATTGCCGAGAGTCGGCTATCACAGCTAAAATGCATTCGCTGTGAAATGCAAATTTATGGCCTGAAATTAAAAGCGTATTTGTTTGAGCAATGGAGAATGTGGAGAGAGCTATCTCTAAATATCCTATGCACATGAGACTCGAACACTTGACTCTATGAGGAATTGAATTTACTGAACTCGTGATTGGCCAATTTTTCTTCAATTAATATCTCAATAATTACCGTGTGACGGAGTCTATATGCAAAATGACATTTTTCTATTTAAATCAACAAATTTTACCTGCACAGAGTAGTTAGTCAAAACTTGTATAATTAATGAATATTTAAAAGCAGCAAGTTTCATCTACATATTCATAATCTATTATATCTTTTTTTTCAAAGGCGTTGTGAATGTATGCAGAATGTATATGAATATATACAGAATGTCTGACAACGCGTACCAATGCTTGTGTGCGGGGGTCATAAAATTGAATAAAAACAGTCCTCTTTATTATTTTGCAACGTTCGCTATATCGACTCATAACCGAGTTATAGCCGTTTAAAACCGCATCGTTGACATCGGGTGTCGATAACGCGAATATGGCACTTGCTCTCACTCTAGCGCATTGTTTCGCACTGCACTAACCTCTCTGCCTGAGGTGAATGACCAGCGTGACGAGGAGACCACGTGGTGGGGCGACCGCGTGGCGTGGCCGAAACGACGACGCTTTAGGCCGCGGAGTGGGGGCAAGGCCACGCTCGTTGCTCCTTCGTGTTTGACGCGAGATAAGGACGGGAGAGCACACGTAAAGCAGTAAATTTACAATGCACTCTTTGTTTCCTGTTTCTTATTCTCTGTCTTTTTCAAGACTAAAGCCTGATCTACAATATGCTCTTTGCTTCTTGCTTCTTTCTCTTTATCTCTTTCTGACTCAAACCTTAAGCTTTAAGCCAGAAAAAGGCAGAAGACAAGAAACAAAATGCAAAGAGCATATTGTAGATCAGGCTTAAAGCTTGATCTACAATATGTTATTTGTTTCTTGTTTTTTTTTTTTCTTTATCTCTTTCTGACTCACACCTTAAGCTTTAAACTAAAAAAAGACAAAGAACAAGAAAGCAAAGAGCACCTTGTAGATTAGGCTTAAAGCCTGATCTACAATATGCTCTTTGCGTTTTGTTTTTTGTCTCCTATCTTTTTCTGGCTTAAAGCTTAAGGTTTGAGTCAGAAAGAGATAAAGAAAAAAAAAAGCAGGAAGCAAAGAGCATATTATAGATCAGGCTTTAAGCTTGATCTATAATGTGTTATTTTCTTCTTGTTTTTTTTTCTCTTTCTGGCTCACATCTTAAATCTTAAACTAAAAAAAGACAGAAAATAAGAAACAGGAAGCAAAGAACACATTGTAAATCAGACTTTAAAATTCGAGTCGGAAAGAGACAAAAAACAAATAGCAGAGAGCATATTACAGATCAAGTTTAAAACTAGTAGTAAGCAAAATTGAGTACCCACAGTCGATGATTCTTCTGAAGAATATTAGTCAATGTTCTTACTGCTTACGTTTTTTTGTGTATCGTTCGCGAAAACTTAACAGAAAATTCACATCTTGGCAGAAAACAGAAAAGAGCAGATCAGAACTCACGCTGGTAGAAAAGCAGAACTGTCGACTATCACACTTGTCTACCGGTGCGAATTCTGACTAGCTTCTGCCTTTCTGTTTTCTGCTTTGCTGCCAAGGTGTGCGAATTCCCCCTTGGGTTTCTAGAAATAGCGCCTACGGAATGCGAGCATTGTTTTTGTTTACATACACGGGTCCCTGCGCCCCGCGCGTCGATCGAGAACGCGAATCAATACAAACGTCAATCCCGAGTCGAAATTTGGATACTACTTTAACGCTTTTAAGGATAGTTTGCGCCTACTTAAACGATTTATAGCCTAGGTAAAACCTATTTTGACGATATTGATACTCATTAACTGCTCTTTTGAATCTTTAGTCAAAATTTTAACGCTGTTTTGACACTCTTAAAAATAGTTTGAGCCTACTTATATAATTTATAACCTAGGTGAAACCTATTTTGACGATATTGACACTCATTTCCGAGTTGAAATTTTGACCCTATGTTGAACCTTGAATTCTACACCGCAGTAGAAGCTAAGATAGCGAAATAGGTTT